GTTTGATTGTTTTCTCAGTGCTGTTGCTTGGTGCGGCAAGCTAAATGCAATAGCTTGTGCTTCCGAAACATGTGCAAGGATTCCAAGGTTAGAGGTTTGATTTCCATCATAGTAAGTGGTATAATTTGTTCAAATTATTTCAGCACACTGTAATTTATTGCGCTTGGCTATCAAGAACTTTTTCAGTGTTTCCACTAAAAATGCGAAGGCTGTGCAAATTTTCAACAAATTCAATGTAGTCAAATTCTCGAGATATCACTTTATTTCTTTGCATGTATTATTTTCTTCTTATTAGTGTCTAACTTTTTGTAGTTCAAATGCAAACCCACCTTTCTGGATCTCTATACATATAGTCATCCCAGAGCGACCAACTGAGTGCACTGTGTTCAATGTTATAGCAGGTATTGTAAAATAACTTTCCGGTATTGATTACTGGGGTAATATTGTTGCATGTTCTGAAGCTTGAGTGCCTTAATTGGAGGTTTTATTTGGCCAACTTTGTTACTCGTTCATTTTTTCTGTTTATGTGCATTGAATAGCTGCAATTTGTACTCACCTTTGTAATGGCCAAGGATTTGTCTTCCTTTTGCGAACGCATTTAGAACCTCAAATATGAGGCTCGCTGCTTTAGAGTCAGCAGTCTTTTATGAATGGGATTTTCTTTTCCTTTTTTTATTTTCTTGCAAATAGAAGGAAAATCAGAGATATTTTAGAAATAGTGAATAGAAGAATATATAACAGATGGTGCAATGCAAAGCTGTGGTGGATAAACAGCTCTTCATGTAGGGGCAACTAATTAAGTTTTCAACTTTCTGAGTAACATATAGATTGTACCTTCAGAGTATTGAAGAATTCTGATGGTCTTTTCATTTGTTTTTGAGATTGGTTCTTTTCAAATTTTTTTTTCCGACATACATCTACTGGCATGTGTGCTAGATTGCTAATCAGTGTTCATACTAAAATATCTGGGAGTTTCCAATTGAACCGAACATTTGAATTATCTTAATGATCATAAATATCTGGTACAATTGCATTTCGACAAAAATGATCCTTCTAGTTTCCACGCAAAGCCTGAATCAAGCTAAGACCTTATGGCATATTATTCAGAACTATTCATTGAAAATGCAGTTAATTGATTTTTACAAGATTGCGTTGGATTAGAAAATGGTTGCATGTAGTTAAGAAACACCCTTGAAGCCCACGTTTGACTGTTTGAAACAACCGAGTGTCTTTTCGAGAGCACTTGGGCTGTTTTAATTTCTAATGGGTAGGCGTTTTTTTTCACATAACTAATGGGCCCTAAAAATTCTGGTACATCGTGTTGTTGTTGCACTGAACTGAATTTTGTCTAAAGAGATGCACACCTTTAACTTTTGTGCAGAATTGGTTACCTTTCATCTATGGCTGGTGGTATGTTTTTGATATTTCGTATTTTACAACTTTTTATGTTCTACAGATTCCCCTCGTGATTCTGTCCAATTCATTGAATGGTCTCCTACTTCTTGTCCGCGTGCGCTGCTCATAGCTAACTTTCATGGGAGAATAACAATCTGGACTCAGACTTCTCAAGTATGCTGGTTTTCTGGATTATAGTGCATTCTGTTGCCCTCTTCACTTTCTGTTTGCATGTATTTTCGGTGACTTGCAAGTTCTTGGTGTGGGGTTTCTCACTTTTTCCATGTCACACCTGGTAGCCAATACCTGATTGAGTCTTGGTTTTTCCCATATGCTACACGTTCATGAATATTTCTATATTGTTGCTTCAAAAAAGTATTCTTACCTAACATGTATGCTTGGTTACTCAGGGTCCAGCTA